GAAGAGGGCTTAGAAGACTCCCAAAGTAATTTCGTTTGACATTCAAAGCTATTTGATTGCAGTTTCTGAACATTTCTACCCCATTTGTATTCAGCATGGGGTAATCTCAATTTTGTCATGTTTTGAGTCTGACTAATACATGGTACTGGTCTCTTTTCTTCCTGTTCTGCAGTGCTGATTGCTTTCATACCACTAAGGCAAAAACATTGTGAGTACATTCAAAATTGCTAACATTAGAAAAATCCCAGTATCACCAGCATATTGGAGTTTATTGTGTAATATTCAGGGATCTGAAATTGAAGGGGAAAAAAAGAAAGAATTATTTTATATTAATGGTAAGGAATTTTCTACCCCTGCAAATTTTACAAAGACAGTGCAAAAGCTGTTTCTAATATATTTTTCAGAGGACAAAATGCTGATGCAAAAACATTTGTGAGATTGTATTATACTAAAGATTTTCTGTTACACCTTACTTATCAATAATCTTACAGGTACTGTACAAAAGGTGCAGTCTGCTTTAAATTTGGCAGCAGAGAAAACTAGCATCTTCAGCAATTTCTCTTGGCTAAAGGACTGGGCACTTTTGCAGCATGGTCACAGGGTCAGACGTCCAGCTGCTGCCTGAAATTATGATGTAACAAATCCAAGAAGCTGCACAAATATTCAAAAAACACTGAACCCTGAAGCATGTCAGATTTCCAACCATCACTCCAGTTTTGACAGGATAGGGAGTTTTGGCTTTCTAGAAAAAGCACCATTTGTAGTTAAGTGGATGCTCCAGTTCATGTCAGCTATTTTCACACTCAGGATTTCTCTCCTGCCTTTGTTCCAAGGCTGCCCTAAAAGTTGTTACAGCAATAAAAGCTGTTTTGTTCAAAATCTCTACAGATATCTCATGAAAAATGCTCTCATCTTCACACCCCAACTGCTTGCCCTGCTTTCACTGGCAGCTGAGCTAGGACTTCTGTGAGTGCAGGGCATAGCACTGGATTTGTCCTTGGCTGGGTAACAGAGCTCTTGCAAATGAACCCATCCAGCCCTGACTTGCCTTGAAAACACAGCAAAAACCTCAAGGAAGAAGACTTCCTCGTTCTGCTGATAGGGAGGAAGATAAGTGGAAGCTTAAAAAAAAACAGTGATAAATGCTGGCTACTGCCTATTCACTGGTACAGGTTTTTTAATGCTGCTGGTTGGATGGGGGAGGGAATCACAGAATGGAATATCACGTTGGAAAGTACCTCAACGACCATCTGATCCAACCCACTGGAAGAAGCACAGTGGAACAATTATGGCCTGCTAAACCCAGCAGCTGTCAAAGACTTCAGAAGCTGAAGCGCCTGGTGATAGACAATTCTGGAGGCCTCAGAACAAACATGTTCATACAGGTCTCATTTGTTTCTGTGCTGCCTCTCCCTCATCTTCCATCTAAAATTCAGCAGCACCTGGGTTGCTGAGCAATGTTTCTGGCAAGATTCCTGAATCAGCCAGAGAAGGGATCCTCTCTGCAGGCTGCCACACCCAGAGCCAGCCACTATCCTGCAGGAGCATCAACAATGGCTTCCTCAGGAGGGACAAAAAGAGGGCCAGGAAAAGCCTGCCCTTCACCATTTTATTAGCTAGCCCTTCATAAAAGAGAGGTACAGACCTCTGAGCTGGCAGTCAGTGAGAGAGAAGGTCATCAAACCTCAATTTTATGCAGGCTTTTGCTTTGAGGATTTGGGAAGGCCAGGCTGGTCTTTCTCAGTTGCAGAAGCACTAGCTCAGGATGCTCTGCCATGCAAGCAAGCAAACAAAATAGCTTTTAATTTACAGCTTTTAATAAATGGGGTAGGTCAATGCTTTTGTTACCACTCCTGTACCTGACTATTGTCCTGAACCAAATGCAATTAAAACAGGGATTATACTTTGACAGCTGCATTTGTGGTGATATGTATGCACAGCAGAACTCTGCCATGCTTTGAGAGGCTGATCTATTTTTTAGCATCTTGTTATAATTAGAACCAAATGATTTACAATGAATTATTTATTTGATTAATTTCTTCCTTTTTTTCTTTTCTATCAGTGAATTGTCCACAGACAGAATGTTGAATTCTTCAATTCATTTTTAGTTTAAATAATATATTTGATTATTAACTCCAGGTCAGCAAGTTATTCATCATTTGCTAATAATCAAAATTCAGAATTTGTCCAGTGGCATGCTATTTTCTGAGGTTCAAAGGACAGATGGACTTTTTCCTCCTCCGTCTTTGGAGCAATATGCATGGCAAAACATTATGTACACTTCTTAAGTTTTATTATTACATATACAGTCTTAGCTTTTCTTATTGTAAAAAATTGAACTTAAAAAAAAAAAAAAGCAAAATGAACTTCTGATGCTAAGCTTTATTGTTTAACCCTAATGTGATTCTGAAGGAAAATTCAATAGAAAATGAGAACAGGATGAAAATTTCTTCCAGATATTTAGAAAATAAATTCTGGAACTTGAGAAAAATTATTATAACAGGCTACAGAATGATTTTGAAAAGTTCAGAGGTGGACACTTCTATGCAATTTTTCAAGCCAGATATTTTTGGTGGTTTTTTTCCTAACCATCTAGTCCCATCTTTTTGCTGGCAAAATAGGAAATTTCTAAGTGGCTTCTAAAATCAATGACAAAAGCAGTTACAAACACAGAAATTCAACTTGGTCATGGAGGACATATGATGTTACAACATACATCACGTTATGGTAAAAATACCTCCTCTGTCTCATCTCATCCAACCCAAATCACCACACCACAAAAATCTGGATCCTAACAACATTTATCCCCAGGTACAAATGTATTTATAATGTGAATGAGTTATTTGGTGACAATTTCCTGCTCTGCAGAGATTCCTTACTTGCAAATAGCAAATATTCACACATTGCCATGGTGCAATATGGCACATTTTCCATGAGGTACAGGCCTCCAAGCTTTCCTCTCCACCTTTCACACACAGCACTTAGAGTTACAACACTCACATTTAGATGACTGTTAGTACAGAACTCTGTTTGTCTTACCAGGTGAGGAAGTTTTTAAGCCTCAGGCTATTTTTAATCTTCTGGATGTTTTTAAGCCTTGAGAAAGGATGCTCTGGTAATTTCCCATTTTAGTCAGCAGGAGTGAAGGCAGACAACGTAATAAACACACAGACGATTGCACACATGAAGACTTGTAAACTTGTCTGTAAATTCTACCACAAATTATTAACAAGCATCTGCAATGTTCCTGCTGAGGAAAAAAATCCTACTTACATAATAGTTCATCACAATAGACGCTGAGTGTTCATACAGATGTATTTTTAGCTGGTTCCTATGGAAACGTGACTTATGTGCTCACACTTTATATATGTTCCTCAATAACTTCTGACCCTATCAGATAATTTCAGCTACCTCTGACAGAATGATGGACTCCTTCAGTTTGGGGAACTGAATCAGCTCAGCCTGCATTAGCCACCTGAGAGTCTACTGACTGAGGCTACAGGATAAGGTAAGGAAAGAAGAGGGTACATATCCTAGTCATGGAGGTGTTGTTATTCAGAGCTCATGAGATACCATGAAACACAAATCCATAGGAAACATCGGTCCAGATGCTTATAGAAATTCTTGTCTGAAAACTACAGGATATTCCACTGGCCCAGAATTAGTTTAAATCTTGAACAAGAAAGATGACCATAAAGTGGTGCTTTCAGTTAAAGCATATAATGAGGAAAGCTTAAATCTGTTATTGCCTTTGACATCAAACTCAGGTCATTCTGTGATTCTAAAAATATCAACCCCAGACACAAAGCTGCTGAGAATGCCTGACTCTTGAACCTGCAAGAACAAATGTAGAGGCATTACTTCAAGGCATGCATGAATGTCGTGTTTAAGTAGGTTGAGAGAGACCTGGTGCTTATAATCTCCTAAAGAACCTTTCTTAATATTCCTTTAAATCTATTCATGGCCTGTATGTTGTGTAATTTTCCTCACTGAGCCCACCAGCTTCAGTTGCTCTTTCCCTACACAGCTTTTATCTTTCCAATCTCATAAGCAGAGCGGGAAACAGTTCAGAAAATCACAACAGCCACCTTTAGGAGAATGTGCATTTGGATTATGAATGCTGTTTCCTCCAGTGGGTGACACCAAGCAGGTCCCGCAGGGAAATCCAGGAAACGCTAACTTCTACTCATTCTTCTTTCCTACCCCAGTTTTCTTGGTGGATCAGTGTAGAAGGTATGTAACAACAAGTGTTCCTTCTGCCTGCTTACTCTTCCACTGCTACAAAGTGAATTTCAGGCACAGCTCTGAAAGATGGTTGCCTGTATACCCTGACATGAAGATGCAGATGCCTGAAGAGCTGGATCAGGTCATTGGTTCTACCTTGTTCCCATGTCCATACCAGTTGCACATCTCCTCCTCCTATGTGACTAATGCTCAAATGTACTGAGTCTTTAATCACTTTCCAAAGAAGAGTCACTTCCAGGACCCCAACTCTCAGCAGAATTCAAGCACCAAATTAATTTGGCACAAAGTCCCAATTTTACATTTTTACCCGGCTAATCCTCACTGTGGCTGTGTCCATAAACCACTACCCATGGAAGTTTCAACAAACTGCAAGTAACTTTCACTTTCAGTAGGTTTTTTGTGTGTTGTTATTTCAGTGCATGTTATTTCAGCAATGCTCAGCAAAATCAAGCATGCTTTTCTTGTTTTTTATACTGTCACACTAATAAGGGATGTTAAGATTCTATGCACAAGGACAGGAGTAGTAATAAGAAGGGAAATTTCTCCAGCACTGCATTTAATTTAAAAGTGCCAAGTACATAAACTCCTCTGGACACTCTAGGAGTTGATATCTTGCTTTGTGGGTGTGTACACACGTCTGTCTGCCTCTGTGTGGCTCTCACACCTGCAGCTCATAATCGTATGTAGTTTCAAACGAGTTGAGAAAATGAAAATTATCTTCAAATGGCAGGAAAATGCATTTGACATACCTCTTGTTCCAGCACTTGCGAGACTCGCTATAATTACTACTGTGAGCTTGCAGGCAGATGGCAAACGAGGCTGCACCTTGAATTCAGTCAGCAGGATGCTGCAGAATTGCTCTCACTAGCATTTTGTTCAAGATGTTTCAACACACAAATCTAAAAACTGGCAACCAAGAAATAACTACTGTGATTATTAGTGAGCTTTAAATAACAAGCACATTACATCTCCACCAGTCTTCCACATCTCTCTGCACCCACAGTGTCACCTATGCTGTGCCCAACCCACCTGCATGTGCTTGGCCCCAATTAATGTTATTACAGACTCCAAAATAGAAGGAAGAGTCTGCATTAAGAGATGAAATTGAAAAGGACCAGATTCTGTTCCAAGGGATAAAAAAATAATCTTGCTCATATCAAGGAGATAATTTTGAGACAGCAGTGGCATCCAAGTGACCTGGAGGTTGCCAGCTGCCTGAGTCTTACTGAGCTTTTAATATGACAAAAGGAAGGAAAGGGAGGGGGAAAGGAGAGTTTTGGGAAGATAAGGCTTTAAAAAAAAAAAAAAAGGACGTAATAGGCTAAATATCCAGCTGCCTTAAGGCAGAAGGGTTATCTCTATTCCTTTTTTTTTAATCCACCTGGCTCCTTGACTAGGGGATTTGCACAAGAAATCTCTTCCAGTGGAACTGTGGAATAATTTGAGAGATTGCAAAGGAAAGAGTATTTATATGTCTGAACAGCCTTATGAAACTAATACCAGAGTCCTACCACAGCAACAGAACCAGACAGAAGAGGGTTACTTATGTTTTCTTCCTTCCATTTTAAAAGAAATGGCATTTATGCTGGTGGTTGGTGGTTTTTAATTTAGTTTGCTACGTGAGATGTGATTTTACAGTTCTGGAGTCCCTCTCTACATAGCTCCAGTGCTGGAAAAGCAAACATTGGCTCTCGAGCTGCCGTTGCAGAGCAGCCAGCTACCACACTGTGATTTAGACCACAGCAATGACCACTTTGCAGTATTTCCATAGCCAAGTCCGAGTACTGTATGTAAGGATGAAGTGATTAGGGCAGCTTTCGCTAAGAACAATGAATTTTCCTTTCTGAAATCACTTTAATCCATGTTATTGCACCCAAAACTGCTTGCATAACTCAAGGAAATGGGTGGAGTTCATACTGCAGAGGTAAAACAATTCTTACTGTTTCCTAGCTGTTTATGCTTCTACACTGTTAGGATTTATTTCAACTCACAGAAAGAGGGATTTTAGTGACACAATGCATAAAAGCAAGTTGAAGATTAATAAAGTAGATAAGACTTTCTAAACAAAGTGTTTTTCCATGGCCTGCTCTCAGCATAATGCTGGTGTGAGAGTAGAATCAGGGTCAGTATTTCTACCAAGGGGATTTAAGGGTAATAGCAGAACATCTATTCTTTGTAACACAGGGTGGCTCAGCAGCAGCAAAAGACAACAAATGCAGTACATGGCATATAAAAGGTAGACTAAAGTTCCCATTTTATTCTTCAACTGATGTGCTCAGAAAATCTTAAATTTACTTCTTGTGCATTTGGCAAATAAGAGCAAACATGGAGCTTGTGATGCTGCAAAAGAGTCAAATCTACGCTTGTGTAATTCACTACCTCGATCTTGTGTCTGCAAAGGTTAAGAGGTGAATAGAGCAGCAAATTCTTTGATTGGCAAACCACACCACATGAGCCTTATCACTGCTGCCAATACTGTATTTTGATCAGTCTTTGCAATACATTTTACGTGCAAATGGATCTTTTGTTACAAATATATATCCAAGGTAATAAACACCTGCTTTCCTATGGCCTAGATCTCAAGGTGATTCCCACTTACATTTTATTGCAGATAAATTACATGAGGTCCATGCTGTCCCTTATCTCATTAAATTTATCTTAGGGTAAAACTAAGGTATCTTATGTTTTCTTCATGATCATCAAAGTGTGAAACATACTGTGGGGTTAAAAAAATTAATGCTAGCAATATTCTGCACCTTGGAAAAGACACCCGAGGCCTGCCCTCAAAGAGCATAAAATTACTCACAGGGCAAGCACTTCTGTCCTGCAGATTCCCCTCCAATGGGGTAAGAAAAAAATGCCAGTTTTTCCCACTTTCCCAGTGACACCCCTTGGCTATCTAGGCATCATCTCTTGGTTTTGATGGAATGAAGTGAAATTGTGCTTTGTAGTGAGTGTTACAGGCTGCAGAGACATCAAAACTGAGAACTCTGGTGCTTTGTTGCAAGGGTTAAAATCTGCCAGGAGTAGGGAGCTATTGCTAGATTTGGTCAGTCTGAGATATACTTAGGCACTGAAGAGAAGGCAGAAAAGTAACAAAACTAAGAGAATGTACATATTGCTGAATATATATTTTCATAACCTAGATAGCTGTAGTTAACAAGTTAGAGCATCCTATTTCTGATATAAACAGCAACAAATTAGTAGATGAGGTATACAGGGGTCATGCCTCAGCCAGAGGTCACAAAAATAACACAGGGAAAATAATATGGGGGCGGAGGGAAGCGTCAGCATTTTAACAGGCTTTGCATAATTCTGTGACAGGAACTACAGCAAACAAACCACACAGATCAAGAATCCAGAGGGCTGCAGACAGCACTCAGATCAGAGCAAGGGTGTTCAGTAGGCACAAAAGCTGCTGATCAAAGAGTGACATCCTCGCCATCACCGAGCACGCCGCTCCTTTGCTAAAAGCCCTTTAACACAGCATAGCAGGAAGCACACTCTTTGAGCAGGAGCAAACTTTGAAGAAGGCAGACATGCAAAGAAGCACCATGTATTGGAGCAATTAATACCCAGAAACAAATTCTATTTCCTGCTAATCCTTTCATGTTGTCGAATAGGCAGCCCAAAATAGGATCGGGGAAAATACTCTAAAAGGTCACAGGGAAGGATTACAAAGAGACCATAAGGTAGGAATAAACATTTATATTTTTACATAATATAGATCTATATCTGCTGAAAATCAGCCCCAGCTTTCATTTACTTCTCACCAGAGTTACATTAGAGTGCATCAGTTAACCACATCATTAACAGAAGATATTTTGCCTTGCTGGAGCTGCAATGGGGGAAGCCCAGGATCAGGACATTGCCATTCTCAATGTTGTAATGGTCTTCACATGTACCCAGATAACACACCTTCCCATTTTTAATTGATGTAATCTTCTTTCAGTACCCACTAGACATTGCCAATTAATGTTTTTGCATTAGCAGTGTTGAAGCATTGTTAATGACAAAAATTACATCTGTAGAACATTATATTTTTAGAGTGCTTTAAGTTAATTAGTTAATAAATAAATTGATCCTTAACAATATAAGTAGGCTGCTATTTAGACAAACATTTTAAAGTGAATAACAGAAGACAGGCATAGGTTAAGGACCTTGCCTATGATATTACAGAAGAGGAAATCAATGAGTCTAAATTAAACTCAAATTAAATGCTGATTATTAAAAGATTTAGGTATACCAAAAAATGAGGTATAGGTTCTTTTTTTGGGGAGGGAGCTAAACTTCTACGTGGGAGGAAGGAATAACACAAAGATATTTTCAAACGTAATATGCAGCAGTGGAAAAGGTCACGCTGAATTTGCCTTAAATAATGTAGGCAGAAACCTTCTTTGAATGACAAGCAAGAACTACTGAAAATCTGTCCCTGAGATTTCCTCAGTTGATTGGAGCATGGTGCTAATAACACCAGGGTTGTGGGTTTGATCCCCATATGGGCCATTTATTTAAGAGTTGGACTTGATGATGCTTGGTTGCCTTCCATCTATGAATATTCTCTAACTCCTGTCTGTTGAGCAGCAGTGTTAGGACAGTATCAACGCTTAATGCCCTTGTGTAAGATGGTCAGGGTTTTGATGCATTCCACCATTTTTGAAAACATGATTTAGGACATCCATGGACAATCCTACTTCTTTATGAGACAGAGACAAGGTAAGTTGGCTTTAGCTAATTTAGAAGATCTTGGGAGAAAAAAAGAAACACTGCAAGTTTCTATATAGACATAAAACTTTCAGATAGACATGTAATTCAGTGAATTTCCCAGAAAACTATTATAATATAAGGTCAAAAACACTACAAGTAACAAACAGTTACACTTTTCAATCACGTATTTCCTTATACAGAAATAATCCCATGGCCCATGAAAAGACACAGAAAAGTATTGCTGCACCAGTCCAGCAGCTAGTTCTTAAAGATTTCCCCATAGACAATGATTAAGACACTTTTTCAACTCCTTTGCTTTCCAGTAAGATGTGAAGCCATTTCTTATTCACTCTGATAGAAATGAAGGGAAAATATCCCATTTTTAAATAAAAAATCAAAACTCCAGTATTCCCAGTCATAGTGGGAAACTGCATGATCAGAAACTGCAGAGTGCTGCCCTTCAGGGAAGTACCAAAAATTCATCCTTGCTGGCCAGTGGGTGATTTTGTTGTTGCACAGGTTTCCAAGAGTGTACTCATTATCAGACTATATTTAAGTATCATGTAAAGAGTGTTTGTGGGCTTACACACGTATCTCTTCAAATTCATCCAGAACTAATGAGAATTACTGCAGATGAGCAGTGTCAATACAAACTGGGGAAGTTTCTGTGTGACATGTTTTCGCTCTGTGTGACTCCATAATTACTGAATCTCTGTGGCAAAGGTGCTACAATCACTTGGATGTTTTGCATGAAGAAGCAAACAGAAGTTAAAGTGTTCATCTATTTTACCTTGCATTCATTATGAAAGAAATACTTTTATTTTCAGGGTAGGTTCAGTATATGTATGGAATATTTTCAAAGTCCAATAAGCAGGTAATTCATAGACACAAGGTAAATATGGAAAATAAAAAAATATGGGGAAGCATTAAAGAGCTGGGCTGCCCTTGAATACATATTCTCACAAGTGACAGAAATCTAAGAGTTCTGAAATGTAAGTTACAGAAAAGATGACCTTACCTAGTGGTTGTAGCAACGGGATTAGTAGTGAGAAGACCAGGTTCCTATTCTGGCTGAGTTGCCCTCCTAGAGGAAAACAATTAGTAAAATCAGTTGATGTTAACCTGTCTGAACTGTTAAGTCATAAAAAAAGTTGAGATGAGGAATTGAACTTCAAAAAATTCTCTGCAGGAAAGCTGGTTCAAAACTTTCCAGCAAGAACATTATGTCCAAAACAATCACTTCCATTTTGGTACCACAGATCAACAGAACTTAGTAGTTCACAGTCTTTTTACCTTCAGATGTTCTGTTTTGAAAAACTATAATTCTAGGTAAAGAAGAGATGTGGTTCAGAAAATAAATCAGTACTTTTTTCATATAATTTTAACTCCAAAAGTGAAATTGCAGTGAAATTAATGGCTTCTAAAGTAGTTGCTACAAGATGGGGTCCCCTCTTCTTGCATGGTTTTCATGGTAAAAAGAGAAGGAAAGAAAAGTTCAGTCTTTCTATTAAAAGCAATGCAACTTTTGCCTGTGCAGTGATAAAATTTGGTTCAGCATCTCATTTTGCTGCGATTTATTTATGAATTCTCTCCAGTCAGTTCCTGTGTTGGGACATGATGAAAAATTGGCGACCCTGCTTAGCATATTTCCAATTGCCATCTAAGGTAAAAGGTGACTGATGCACAGGAATTTTAGATTCTAGTTAGACATTCACCTAACAACATATGAGTCATTCTTGTTTCTATGCAAATGTCATCCTTCACCTGAAGGAAGATTCCTGCCTCTTAATATTTAAATCTCATCTAGTTTTCATCAATTTCTGAACATCACCACATCCTTGAAATCTTCTTGAATATGCATTGAGGGACAAAACATCTTTATCTTTTTTTACTTATTTTGCCAAACCAAATGTTCTTCTTAATTCAGACAGTAAGAAAATCCCAGCTATTAAAGAAAATATAAATACAATTTAAATCATTTTTCTCCTTGGGCAAAGAAGATGACAACACACACAGAACTGCAGCTAGCAATTTGCATTGTTCATTTTTAGAGAACCCACTCCTAGTGACAGGCCTCTCTAATGCCCCATGGCACATACAGGGGTAACCTAAAAGGCAGGATAAGTGAGATCAGAGAATGATACTAAATATCGAGATTTTTCCCCCAAAAGCTCAGTTCCTGTTCTTTACACAGTTAAAAATAAACAACACCCTCATAGAAGCCTTCTAGTCATCAGCATATCTGAGTGAGATCATAATCAGAGCCACTGAGTTATTGAGGGTTGAAATGGGACGACTGCTACAGCCGGGGATACAGCTATGTCAGCTACAAAGTTAACTTTGAAGTGTCACTCTTTGTGGGAGAAATTCCTCATTCTTCATTCTTTCAGGTGTAATTCACTGGCCTTTGAACCACACTGGTCCAGTGGGTAAAGCAGAGCCTAAGTTTGCAGCAGAGATGCTGTGTTCACATTGATTTCCAGTGTGGAAATGCAGTGAAGTCCAAAGGCTCCTGGCATGGACATCCTTTCACTGAATGTTGGGCACAGCAATGGAAACCCACCTTGTGGACCTAACACTGACCCTTCAATAAGCTGTGAGCTGTTCGAAGAATAGTGAAACAGGACAATTTTAAAGACAGTCTGGGCCATTCGCATGCATGCTTTGCTCCCTGTGGGTTCACCCAGGTGCTGGGAGCAAACAGGGCTCCCCAGGAATGATGCACTGCTCCCATTTGGTGGCAGCATTCCATCTGCACATCGCCTCCCTGCCTCAAATGACAACAGAGAACTCAATCATCCTCCAAGAGAGAGTGTGGCAAAGAAACTGCCTTTGCAAGGCCACATGCCATGTCTCAGCAGCCCTGTGTCACAGCCTGCTAATTACAGACAGGCTGAGGAGAGCTTTGCAATCCCTCTGTGAAAATACCCCTGGTGAACCGAAGTCTCAGGCCAACAGACTGCTAGGAGAAAGCCAGGAACTCTGCTCCCTCCAACACTGGCAAGGAGGAAGAGGTTCATATTTGTATCCCAGCCATTAGCCATGAGAGCATTCACTCCTGTTTCCCTAGGGCCAGTACAAGGTCACCCTGAACCCTGCCAGAAATTCCCTTGGGTTTCCATGCCCCACTCAGGAGATATCTGAATAGGTAAATGTCTCCCAAGTCATAGTCTCAGCAGCAGCACAGTTATGTAGGCTTTGCTTTTATGTTTCAGCAGCATCCAACTCTGTCTTAATTGAATTTATAAGTTGGTTTTCTGTGTAGCACCTCTGGAATTTCTGAGGTGCATTCACAGAGGATTATTGGCTTTTACTTCAGGCAAGAGAAGCAAATGAAAGTGCAATGATTCAAAGGCACAGGGAAGTAAAATTTGAGCCTTAGCTTAATCACCTGAGAGAGCAAAGAATGACTAAAGAAACTAATTATAAACTCCAGGAAACAAGAACCCTTCCTCCCAAAATTATTTACTAAACACTAGACAACTGTAAAGAAAAATACTTACTTGGGCAGTAAGCAAATAAAACTTTACACACTTTTATTACTTTTAAAGAAAGTTACTTGCAAAATTACCTGTGATGCACAGATAACAACCAAAATAAATTGGTCTCAGCATTAAAATCAATGTCTCTCCTATATGTGAGAAATAATGTGTGTTTTCCTATTGCTTCTAACTAAAATGCCTTGGCAAAACACAAAAAAATAAGGAAGGCTTCTTATGTTTCTTTTTCTTCAGAGAATTTTCCATATAGTGGTCATTTTTGCTTTGGTTTAATACCAGAAACAACTCACAGTGGTCAAGCAGGAGCATGCAATCATTTAGCCGCTCTGTTTCTTTTACCAGCTCCTATGTTCCAGCTGTATCAGATACATCAGATGAAAAAGGAGCAAAACTGGACAAAAGCAGCTGGTGAGAACTGGATGTTAGAATAACTCAGAGACAAAAATACACAGGGGAAAGAAAAAAAAAGTCATGTGAAGTTTATAGAGAAACAAAAAACCAGAATATTTAAGATGGACCAAAAAGCCTGGAAAATAATAACTGCTTGCCTAGTATAAGAATGAGAACAATTCACTATCCTGACATAGTATTATGATATTTACCTCTCAGATGCAGGGGAAGTAGGAATATATTTAAAATGTTCCAAATAATTCACAGATACATTAAGACATTAAGTCCATCTTCCATCTGGAAATGAGACATAGATCTCTGGAACTTCTCTCAATATGAGATTAAGAGGATGTATTTCATATATTGATAGGCTGTTTAAAAACAAATCTCTTAGAGATGACACAAAACGTTTCATCTATTAGAACCAAGTGGTTATTAAAGTTCCCTGTTGTGAATATGTTTTTGTGGACACAGAGATGGTGGAAAGCAGTGCAGTGCAAGAGATAGCCAGGCAGACCAAGGCTGAGGGCACTGGGCAGGGCTACAGGGCAGTCCCAGAGCTGCAGCTTGGGTCCAGCCAGCAGCAAGGCTTGTGCACCAGCCCAGGCAGGAGTGGGGAGGTGTTAGAGCAGAGAACCCAGAGGTACCTTCCAACCTAAGTTATTCAACAATATTAAATGGTGTTGATGTACTGATGGTATTATCATGGTACTGGGAGAAGATAGGGGAAAAAATGGGAATTGCAAAATCTGTCTCTGGATATCAAAATTTCTACAGGCCAAACCACTTCACAGAAGCTGTTTCTTGTTCTCTAACAATGGCAGTACCACAGGTATCCCACTGACCCCATTTTTCCCGAGCCCTTTGCTCCATGTCCTCTGACTCATTCCAAGCTTGCTCCCTGTCACATCACTCCCACATATCTGAAACATAGAAGTCCATTACCCTTTAAAGTTTCCCCACTCTATCCCACAATACCTACAGGAATTTTACACATCTCTCCTGGTGCCAAATTCCCATCTTTTCACTCCATTCACTTTAGCTGCAAACACCTGACAAAAAAATGTAGAAGCATCTATCAATTACAGCAGGGTTTAAAATCCTGCACATCATTTTTACCTGGTACAACAGGCTATCACAAGATATTATGCAACTGACCCAATTTGAAGCATTTTGAATAATAGAGTTTAACAGAATGAGTCTGTTGTAACCTGCTGAGGACTGCTGCTGTCCCCAGTGAGGATCAGCAGCCACGTTACTGGAGGCAGAACCAGACCTTCTACGTCAGTGCCACCCATCCATATCCTAAATAAGTTGTACAAGGAGACGTATTAGTTTCTAATCCTGGTTCTTCAGTGCCTATATAAGCCTCATCACCATAGCAACAGATGGCTACACAATCTTTAATGCCTTTATTTTCACAAGTCCTCTGAGAAATAGAGGAGGACAGCTGTCCCCATTTTACAACTGAGTAACTGTGATGCAGAGAGGCAAACTGATTGGCCCCAAACCCTGCAAGAAGTCTAGGGAGTGCAAGATGTCAGGGCACCAGGTCTCCCAAGCATCCTACCAGTGCTCCAATCTCCTACTCCAACCTTTCCTCTAAAAGTAGCTTCTATGCCTATGGCTACATCAACAGAGACTCTGAAAACCAAGCTTTTTCACAGAGAGGCTCAGGCCTCCATTAAGTCTACTACCACTTCACAGATTGAGATGGTTCAGATTTATTTATTTCTTTATTAGACAATTTTCTACCCAGGAAGTTGAACTACAGAGGAAGTCCAAAGGGAATTGGGAAAAAAAAAAATTGATTTCACCAATTTAATAGGTCAGAAAACACTGATGACACTGTGTGAATCTCATGAGTTTGCAAATATTAGAAAGGCTGCTAAGGGAACCAGTTCTGTGTTTTTTTCCCCATAGTATTTGGCAAGAATCCAACTTCTGCCCTGTACTCTATGGAACACAAGCTTTAGGTAGTTGGCAAAACTAAAACATGTCCAGTTGTTCTTCCCTGTGAAATAGTTACATAAAAAAATAAAATCCATAACCTGGAAAGAGCAAAAGGGTGCCCCACACCTGGGCTTTTATGTGTGTTATGCATATCTTTACTTCTGGGCATAAAACACAAGTCCCAAATGTGGAATATTCTGTTCTGGAACTCCGTCTTAGACTGTTTCATAAAAATTAGTCA